TTTTCAATATTTTTATAAGTGATCTGGATGAGTGTGTGGAGGGGCTACTCATTAAATTTGCAGATGACACCAAATTGGGGGGAACAGCAAACACACCAGAAGATAGAGAGAGGTTTCAACAAGATCTGGACACACTGGAAAAGTGTGTGGATTTGAACAAGATGCAATTTAACAAGAATGAGTGCTGAGTTCTACATCTGGGTAACAAAAATAAGGAACATGCATACTGAATGGGGGATACATTTCTGGGTAGCAGTGTGTGTGAACAAGATCTTGGGGTACGAGTGGATTGTAAGGTAAATATGAGCAGCCAGTGTGATGCAGTGATAAAAAATGCAATCTTGGGGTGTATCAACAGAGGCATAAACCACAAGATGTCATAGTCCCACTGTACACTGCATCGATCAGGCCGCACCTGGAGTACTGTGTGCAGTTCTGGAGGCCTCACTTCAAAAAGAATGTGGACAGGACTTCCGGTTTGTGGATTGGTGATGGCGGTCGCTCTCCCCGGACCTTGGGGGAGCGATGAGCACACCAGCAGCATGGAGGGGTGCTACCTCAAGTGGCATTCCCACGGAGCCTTTGTGATAGGCTCCAGGCCAGAGCGCTTTTGAGGATCAGCCTCTTCGACGGCTCAATGCCGAAGAATCGAGGCTTCCCTCCACCCTCACGGTCCTGCCATTGTGTGGCCTTCGAGCACAAACTAATTCAACCGGGACAAGTGTGGGAGATCGAGCGGAATAACGAATGTTGTGAGCGAGGTCAGAGATATGACCAACAATGAACATGAGTTCAAAGTAAACGGAGTATTTTAAAAAACAAATCCCCCCCCCCATGGGAAAAGCGGAGCACAAAGAGGGATGCCTCTTAAGTGCATGGACAGATAAACGTATTGAAGGGGGAAGGGAGGAAGTAAACAGCGAGTTTATTTTGAAAGACTTACATGAGTGCTGATAGTGAGGCGATGAGTCTTTCGAGCCCTTGCGAAGCGGTTTGAAATTGTTAGCAAAACTGTAAAATGGCGGCTTCCCAAGGAAAGTTAAAAGCGAAAGCACCGGGCAGTCCTGCAACTACAGATGGAAAAAGCCAATATGATTCTCAGGTTCCAGGGAGTTCCTGAAGCAGCGAAAGAGGACCTGAGGAGTTTGCTTAGCGAGATTATCGCTCCAGTGATAGGCTCTACAGCGGTAGAGTAAGTAGTAGTAAAAGATATGGAGGTGGTCTATAGGGCATACTCCAATTATATTAAAAAAATATTCTACCTGGAGAAATTGTGGTCAGATTCTCAAGAAGACAGACCAGAGATGCTATACTAAAGGCAACCTCAGCAACTCCACTGAAATTGGGGAATGCAACCATTAAGACTTTACAAGACATTCCATTTGAAATTCGTCAAAAGAGAAAAAGCTATAAGGACATAATCTCTTTTCTTCAAACCAATGGAATTCAGTACCGGTGGGTGATCCCCGAAAGTGTCATCTTTAAAATTAACGATAAAAGAGAGAAGATTGACTCAATTTTTAAAGCCAAGGAATTCTTGAGACATCAGCTGGGATCGGTGGAAGAATCCAAAGACAAAGAAACCAAATCAAGTGACTCTGCTACCTCTGGAACGGATGAGAATGAGGACTCTGTGGTAGAAACGGGAGCAATTAAAGTTGCATACGATTTCAGAGACAGAAAACCGAAGTAAAGGCAGAAGGACTTTGAAAAGCACCTTTTGAAGTTAAGAAGATGCTCAGAAAGTTCTCTCATAACCAGGGGTCATTCCGTAGAAAAAGAGATGCAGGAGCTCATTAGCATAACTCATTAGCATAACTTATTTGCATATACCACACCCCCTGACATCACCGGAAGTGTGTCAGAAGGCAACACCCACCACTCAGGCTCCATTGGACTGTTTTGGATTGCTAGCTGTTGTGGGGGGGGGGAACGTGCAGAGGAGGGAGAGCTTGTATAAAACTTGGTCTTAAAGGTGTCACTGGACTGTTTTGGACCAGAGGGCCGGGGTGGAGGTCTGCAGCTTACCTGGCTGCTTCTTGCTCTGACTGAGAGCTGCTGGGAGCAGCATGTGCTCGCCCCCTTGGTTCTTTACTGCCTTGCTGCATGTGCCCGCCCCCTTGGTTCTTTACTGCCGGAGCTCTGCTCCTGTGCGCTTCTGCAGGAAATGACCCCTGCTCATAACAACTAACATATTAATATAGAAGCTGTGAAAAACAAGAACTTTACAAGTATATTGTGATACTAACACTTTAATTACTATCATTTAGTTTAACACGGATATGATCTCCCTCTCTTGGGTTTTTAGTTAGTGTGGGTTTCTTTCCTTTATCCATAGTTGTAGTCCCCCTCCCTATATTTCTTTGTAGTTATTAGTCTTATGAAAAAATAATAAAAATTACCCCTTCTGGGGTTTCAAAAAAAGGGGGGAAAAGAAGGTGGACAGAATGGAGCATGTACAGAAGAGAGCAATGAGGATGATTGGGGGCCTGAAGACCAAGCCCTATGAGGAAAGGCTGAGGGACTTGGGAATGTTTGGTCTGGAGAAGAGGAGGTTGAGGGGGGACATGATTGCTTTCTTGAAGTATCTGAATGGCTGTCACTTAGAGGAGGGCAGGGAGCTGTTCCTGTTGGTAGCAGAGAATAGGACTTGCAATAATGGGTTTAAATTAAGGGTGGGAAGGTACCATCTGAATATTAGGAAAACCTTTTTTACACTAAGAGTTGTGCAACAGTGCAATCAGCTGCCTCACTGGCAGTCTTTAAGCAGCAGCTGGACAAACACTTGTCAGGGATGGTCTAGGCTGATCCTGCATTGAGCAGGGGGTTGGACTAGATGGCCAACTCTTGTGATTCAATGATTTTATGGTTCTAATCCAACAGTCTAAACACCTCACCAGCTCTCCTTTCAATGTATAATTCTATGACATCATCTCACCATTCACCTTTTGTGTATGTGTATAAAGTCCCATCAAGTTGCAGTGGATTTATGGAGAACTTGTAGGATTTTCAAGGCAACAGACAAACAGAGGTGACTTGCCACTGCCTACCTCTGCATAGCAAACCTGGACTCCCTTGGTAGACTCCCATCCAAGAACTAAAGATCCGAGTCCAGTAGCACCTTGAAGATCAACAAGCTTTTGAGACCTTGCATTTGGTATATGGATTTTGTAATTTATTGGGTTGAATAACGATATATATATATATATTTTTAAAAGCTTTTAAGACTCAGAGCTTCCTTCATCAGATATCTGATGCTTGTACCCTGAAAACCTTCTTGGTCTTTAAGGTGCTACTGGACTCGAATCCTGAATTTTGCTCTGCAGACAAAATGTATTCCACTGAATGAAACTTCTGTGTCTGGATTTGCACTGTGTGTCTCCATTGCCTTAACTTGATCTGAGGAAATATTTGGAATGCCTCTGGGGATATATGTATTTCTGCTATCCATGTAATACATATACCAGGGGATTGCATAAGCTATTTATCCAGTACTCCTTGCCTGGCATTTAAAGTAAAAATTGAAAGGTTTGTGCTTTTAGCTCTGCCTTTGCTTTTTGCTGTGCCAGCAGACAGCAACTTGTATGTATGGAATGAGTATGAACGCGTGTGTGTTTTCTTATGCAGACAAACACCTGTTAAAGCTGCAGCTGCAGAGTAGCTGGCTGGCAGCATACTTGTGCACACATCTGCTTGAGTAACTGTCCATTCCCTGTTATGGTTATTTACTGCTCAACATATTAAAGCTAGTGGTCAGTAATGAGAATGGAGAAAAGGTGTTTTTGACTCTGTAAATCAAAGGTAATATTTGTTCTATAGAGATGATCTTTGCCTATGCAATTCTTGTGTTATCCTTGAGTCCAGTAGTACAAACTTTCATGTACACGCAAACATCTTCAGATATCCAGAGTAAAACTTTGTTGGTCTTAGAGGTGCCACTGGACTCAAACTTTGTTCTGCTGCTTAAGGCCATCATGGCTACCCACCTGAAGTTGTGTTATTCTTGTTAGCAAAAGTCCAAATGCTGACAAGAACTGCATGATCCTTGTATATGTTTCAACAGTCCGTGTTTACCAGGGACAGTCCCTTTTTCTGATACTTGTCCTTGGTACGTTATTCCTATTGGTGAATTGTGAACGTGCCTCTTAAAAATTGTGTTCATGTGAAATGCTAGAGTTTTGCAGGGTTCAGCTTTCTCTCTCTAGGCCCTCTGGAATAGTTAAATCTCTCAATGGGGGTGAGAGGTGGCGAATACATCTTGTTTATATAGTACATGCATATAAATACTAATACATGAACACACAAGAGGTTGCCTTATACTGAATTAGACCATCGGTCTATCAAGGTCAGTATTTGTCTACTCAGACAGGCAGTGGCTGTCCAGGGTCTCAGGCAGAGGTCTTTCAGATGACCAGCAACCTGGTTCTTTTAATTGGAGATGCCAGGGATTGAACCTGGGACCTTCTGCATGCAAAGCAAAGGCTCTACCATTGAGCCACAGCTTGTTCCCTACTACTAATGTATCATGCTGTGCCCAGCTTGCCATTTGAATACACCACAGCTGCTATGGAACATAGGCAGTGTATAATCTATGGGGGTACATGATAAAGCCACTTTGCTGGAGCTAAGTTATCAAAATATCTTCTTTGGTCAGTCTCAATGGAAGACCACATGATAACGGATGTTACCTTCCACTCCATAGAAGATATTTTGACTACTATAGGAAATTTATCTTTATATCTAACTCTGAACTTGGCCCCAGAATGCTTGCTGATCAAAAAATCTGTACAATGGGGCCAGGTACGGAAGAGGGAGATGTTTCTGTAAATCCTGGGGAAATCCCAGGCTTGCAGAAAAAGCTTAATTTAAAAGAAATGAAGGGATAAAATAAAGTAAGTTTTTAAATGCTGAGGTTTCACAAGATTAGCTCACAAGATCTCAGAAGGCCTTTTTGGTTGCCTAGACAACAGTGGAAATTGCAGTTGCCTTGGTAATACAAAATGGATGCTGTAGGACAGGCAAAGAGGAATGGGCTGGTAGGAAAATCAATAGGGGAAATGGTGGAGGGAAGAAGCAAAGCCGGAGTGGAGAGAGAAAGTAAAGAACAATGAAGTGGGGGATGGGAGATGGAGGGAAAGAAGGAAGGACTGGAGGGAAAGTGACAGATGAGAAGGGAACTGAAGAGGGGAGAGGGAAGGAAGGGCATAGGGAAAGGGGAGAAGCTGTAGGGGCTATGAGGAGGAGTGAAGGCTGAGATAGCAATAGTGTGGGGAGGGACACCTCTGGGTGGGGGATGAGATTCCATATCTGTGAGTTCTCACCATGCTTCCATTAAAAAAAAAAATTCTAATGTATCTTGAGCCAAAATGATGAATATCACTTTTGGCTTGATTTGGCTCTGTCAACAAAGTGTTGATAAATCGGTGTATACAGCAGGCAGAGTGGAACCATCAGCAATGAGACGACGGTGGAATGTGGGTGGGCTTCTGGCAGTAATCATTCCTATGAAACTTGAGGGATTACAAACATTTCCTTATTTCATCTGTGAAATCTTTGACAGTACGTCCTTGACTTCAATGGGTCATATCATGGGAATTTAACTAACTAGTGTGCTGCTCACCACTTAAGACTGGCTTCCCAAACCCATCTCTGTATACTCAACCACATGAAGAGAGGTGGGTGGAATCAGAGACTGGGTTTTTTCAGTAAAGGCACCTCAACTGCGAAATGCCCTCCAACCAGAGAGGTTCTCCTGGTACTTTACCTGTTATTCTGAACATGTCAGGTGAAAGCAATTTTTAAAAATTAATTAGTTTTTTTCACACAGACATAATACAGTACAATACACCATACAACACACAGCTGTACAACCTATATATCAGCGGGTCAAGCAGATTCTAAGTAAAATATATGTCAAATATTGTCAAGGCTCAGTGAGATATGCAGGCTATAAACCATTAAGCCAAAAAAGGTCATAATATCACAGCTAAACTGAACCCATGTTGTCTACCAAACTTTAAGATTCCGTACACACCTAAGATGAATTATATAAGATTATTTTATTTTCCCAATTACCTACTACTTCACAATCAATCCAGGCATTTCTTTGTCCTACAAATTTGAAAACATCAGATTGGGAATTTAGCTCTCTATTCCAAAAATCAAAAAAGAGCTTCCAAAAATCAGAGAAGTAAGCATGTTTAGCATCTCTCAACTTAATCAACTCAGTCAATTTAGATAATTTAGCCAACCCCCTTAGTTTATTTATCCAAGCTGTAACATTTAAACTTATTTCCTTTCCCTAGTTCTAAGCTACCTGCATTTTGGCAGCCATCAATAAATCAAGAACTATACTTTACGGATGTCTGTCTAGGCAAAATTCCCAATAATAAACATTATAACTGTTTGTTAAGGTTATTCCTAACGTTCATTTCATTTCTCTATGTCCCTCCAGAACTCCATAACTGCCAGACATTTATAAAACATGTATATTGTCCACAACTTGTGGTCTGCATTTCCAACAGGATACATTGTTCACATGTAAAGTATGATTTAATTTCTGCATCAAATGCAATTTTATTTGCCTTTTATTAAGTTTTTTAAAATGCTCCTTACTGAGCTTTTTGGATAAGGTATTTCATTTCCCAATATGTTGCATTTTGTTCCCTGTTTTTATGTTGCTGTTGATTGTTTTACTAATGTTTTCTCATTTTTATTCTACCGCATTATTGTCATCAGCTTTATTGTAAGCCACTTCACGTTTAATGGACCGAGAGAAGCTAAATAAGCAGAAGGGCCAGTCCCTCAAGGACAGTTAGTACAAATATATTTTAGCCCTCTGTCTGAAAATTTATTAAGATATTTATACTGTGCTTTCCTCCCCAATGGGTCACTCAGGGAGCTTCCACGGTAAGACAGGGATTCAAGCCGGGGTCTCTGATCCCCTAACTCTACCTTACTTTTGCAATTCTACTATCAATTTCAAGGAGGCTTGTGCAGGAGAATACTATGTTGGGGTGTGCCCTAAATTTATTTATTTATATTCCAATTTATATCCCGCCCTTCCCCGCCAAAGCAGGCTCAGGGCGGCTCACACAGATAAAACACAGATTAACAATTAAATCATTAAAACCATTAAAACCATTAAAACATTACAATATTGCATATTAAGTGCTAGTGATGTTATTCCAATATCACAGCAATGGCGGTGCTGCATGAGTGCATACCATATGGCAGTGGTGGCGAACCTATGGCACGCGTGCCAGAGGTGGCACTCAGAGCCTTCTCTGTGGGCACACGTGCCATCACCCCAGCCAGACCCAGACCATCATTAAAGTGTCAAATTCTTTGCCAAATAATTTTAAGTAAACGAAAGCATTTGGGATTGCTTTCCTTACTTTGTTTGGATCTTCTTAAATTAATGTATGAGTTGTTTTTTCTAAAGTAAAACCTCAGTATTCAGGTTAAATTGCCGTGTTGGCACTTTGCGATAAATAAGTGGGTTTTGGGTCACAGTTTGGGCACTCGGTCTCTAAAAGGTTCGCCATCACTGCCATATGGTGTTCATTTCCAGCGTTGATCTTACTCGACGTGCACAGGCTGTCGATAATTCAACAGGAACCAGGCTATACAGTAGTTACTAGTGATGGTACTAGAAATGTGCACCTAAGAACACATGAATGCAGACAGCATTTCTTCCTGTTCCAATTCTCTCTCTCTCTCATATGCAGGCATGTGCCCAGCTCTGCCAGACTCCCTGCTATTGCCCTTGGCTCCCTCCCCGTTGCCCGCCAGGCTCCCCCCTGGTTCTGGACGGATGCGGGTGCTGCAATATATGTGCTCGCAGGCTGGGAGAGCCCTGCAACCACCTTCATGTGTGTGATCAGAGCCAGGGTCTCGTCTGTGACTACAGCACTGCTCCTGCCGGGAGAAGAGGAGAAGGCACCTGCAATTGTGAGTTGACGGTCAGTCTTTTCAGGAATCCCTGAGGCACAAAGGGAGGGGATGTCCTTAAAGCTAGATAAAGCCATATCCTTTTTTGTTTCTCACAAAACAGTGGCCAGTAAACCAGCTCTCTCCTTTGGCCTTCTCCTGTTTTTACATATTTGGAAGTTCTGAACTTCAAATCAAGAGTTGGGCCAGACTGTAGATTTCACATATTCCCACCATTTGGTGGGCATCTTCACTGGGAAAGGATAAGGCTCTTGCAGTCGCATCAATCTAACTTGGTAATGACTGTTCAGAAATTGGGTACACACTACGGGCTTCCTTTTACGTCACCACACTGTCTTCTCCATTC